ATCCCCTTCTCCCCATAGCTGCGTTTTACGAAAGAAAATTCCAAGCTCGATTCGCTCCACAGTTTCACTACCAATACAAATACGATGCTATCTCTCGTTTATTTTTCTCTCCTTCTTCCATTCTTTCTGCGAAGGTAGTTGGTAACGTGGAATCTACGAAATTCAAATATCGCTTCGTGATGGTATACAGAGAAAGGAGTATGTCAAGCGAGTATGTACCTTCGAGGCTTTTCTCCACTGCTTTTATTTTCAAGTTGTTCTTTCGGACATTTTTCATTAAATTTACATCAATGGGACATTTTTCTCGAGTCTTAATTCTGTCCATTAGGGGAATGGGAAGGGGAAAGATTGAAGGGGAAAGGGTTTCTGGGTCGTTGAGTCGTCAAAGTGAAAACTTGGGTGTCCAGCGAAATCGTGATCAAAGGGAGCTGTGGGGGTGAAAAAAAAGTTGTTCCACCGTAGTACAACTCGTCGAACCACAAGTCGAGGAATTCTCGGTTTATCCGAAAGGAGAAGAAGAAGAAAGAGGCAGACGAAGCAGGAAAAAGATGGAGGAGTAGTGTTATTCTGGAATTTTCTCATTAGTCAATGAATGAACGAAGCGAGGCGTTCATTGATTCTAGGTGCGGCGATGGGTTGACATAGTGACGAGGACGGGAGGGTCGACTTCCAAGATTACCTAGACAGAAGGACAGGTAAGCAAGAGGAATTTTCATTTTACTTGGATTTTCGTCAATTTTATCTGGGACTTGTGGAATAACTAAGAGCAAAACCATTGGAGATTTGAATGTCGTATGACGGAGCCTTCGAAAGCTTGTGAAGGGTCCTCCAAGCGCACTGGAGAAAGCGACCGCAGAAAGGGTGTGCGAAGCAGGTAAGGGGTGGCAAAGACGGGGCGAGGGAGAAAGCTCTTTCTCAAAAGAAAAAAAAAAGGGCACAAGTGAGGTTGAGACAGTAATTTGCATGACTCAAGTACCGACCCCATACGACACTCCACTCAATGGTGTGGCAGTTGGGATATGCCCGACAGATTCAGTTGGATTTTTTCGTGTGTATTCCGCTCCCCAAAAGGTGAGAAACTAAAGAAAGCCAAGTGCTGCTTCTGGATAGAAGCAGAGCGTGGCTTTTGTAAAGAGTGGAAAATAAAAAAAAAAGTGGAAAATCTGTGAAAAGGGGCCATGAGGTTGTGATGCAGAGTGAACTAAAGATGAGGGTAAAAAAATAGCTAGTATAGGATTTGGAGTCGTAGTGGAGACGGCAGTGTACACCTAGTGGTCTAAGGGAAAGGGAATTGCTATGGAATGGGAGAAATAGGGAGCGAGTAAGGAGAAGCAATGCCTCGCATTTCAAACAGACCCCACCGACCAGTACCACCCCGGCTTCATTATTTTCTCGTTATAAGTTTCTACACCTCCAGCTTGTTGTCGTAACACTGTTAATGCGACGCGCCACGAATTGTTAAACGACAAACCTGGTGTACTATATGCACGAACATTAACAATATCTGACTATTGAATGACTGATGTGATGAACAACCGTTTCCATTTTTTTTTACATTTTTTTTTTTACATTTTTTTCCATTCAATTGATCCACTCAATTTATATACACCAACTTCTTGCCCATTAATTTTAAAATAAAATCGCTTATACTACATTAACTTTTAATTTAGTAAAGGCGCACTGGGCCCTATATTCCAGTACCTGGGCAAGCATCGTGTATTCATATTAACTCTGTTCGTTCACGTTAAGTAATGGATTGCGCCGCGGGAACAACGCTTGTCCCTGACGGCCAGCTTATTGCTTTGCCTCGTCCTTCAACTCTTTGTATATTTTCCTTGGCGGTTTTATTTGTGCGGCAATTTTTTCCTCCGTATCCGCAGCCCTCCAGTCACAGATTCCCTTCCCTCATGGGCTTACTCGAGATCTCCTCCAGCCAGATGCCAACAAAATGCCTATCTCCCTTCGGGGACTTCTCCATTTTCAGTCGTATATGACATTTCACCCAATCTCTTATGTTTGATCCTTCTGATGTTTGCGAGGACTCGGTTATCCTCACGATAGCTAAGTAATACGGAAGGAGTGGCATTTAGATGATTCTGCTGTTGCAATGAGAAAAATCAATTACAATTACAAGTACATGAGATGAAAAATTCAATATTGCCAGCAGCTGCAGACAGATATTTCATAAAAAATCAACCATAAAAAATTCCTCATGCAAATGAGAATATTGAAATAATATGAGTATAGTCCTGTGTGGATAATGGTTGAAAAATTTTTATTTGGCACGCCAAGGGGAATACCTCTGTCTGGAGAGAAACCGATGCCTCCCGATCGAGTTCAACTCGATATTTGGCGAAAGCAACGTGCGGTGTACGGGAGTGATAAAGAGAGAGAGGGAAATCGAACGCCAGAGGGAAAGCTAGCCGTCTACGTAATAAAATCACTTGTTGGATTTCCTGTAGTCGTGATTTACGTTCTTGGCTCGGCCGCTTTTCCCGGGAAAACGCGGCAAGCATCCCTTTCATACCATTCCCTCGTCTTTTACTCGCCCGTCGGATTCTATTTCCACTCAGACCAATTCTCATTCCATATCTATCGCATGCCGTAGCTTGTGATCGCTTTCGAGGGCGAATAATTTCAATGGTCACATTCCGTACTCCAGAAAATCGAGGAACATTTGGCGGTTTTAATTTTACACTATATGCGCCTTTAGAAATACTCACCGCAATATTTTTCTTCTAATCTCCTGCAATATCAATGACTATAGGAATCAGGGATTCTCTGTATTGTATTGTATATTAAGAATGAGATACTTTTCTAAACTCTGTATATGATGAATTAATATATATGGGATATTTATCCTTTGTAAAATATCGCCACTCGGACAAGGTAGGCTAGCCGTAGCCACGTACAGCATTATAAACCATCTCGTAGTAATATATCTTCATAATCCCAGAGCTTGCACAGTTATTGCTTACTATATTAACTGTTTTACAGCGATAATGCGTGTTATCTAATCGACCTGGAACTTCCTCGGTACTGTAGAATTATTATTAGAATTATTTGCGTTTTTTTCGGAATGTTTGCATCCCTGATTTGTGAATTTCTACTGAGTTTTATCGGATAGTGTGAGATGCCGAAGAGGACATGAGAGGAGCAAAGTCGAAAAAGGGGAGGAGGTGTTATCATGCTCAGACACGCTGCTTTTATGTTTGGCACTCGAGGGAGTGTAGTGTGCCACTGTTTCTAGACAATTTTTCCAAAGGATGGGTTTGGCTCTTATATCATTCGATCCCTCGTTTTTCTCTCATGTGCAGTGAGAAGATCACATGTGAGGTGACAGTAAGCCATAAGTGCGGTGATTTACTGGAAAAAATTCAATGAGAAATAACCCGCATATTTTTCATACTCTCACCTACGAGACGGTTGTTGATGTGATTATTTGCGTTATTTTTATTGGCAGAAAAAATAATTCATGTGTGCAATTGTTGGTAGTTTTATCGCGTACTATCACTCAATCCTATCATCGCATGTTGAACCTGACCGTCGGCTCTCCTTGAAATTTACATATGCATTTTCCATGAAGAGACACACTTGGTGCGTTCACCACCGAATGAGTTCATACATATATAAATACGAGTATGCGGAATATCTCTGGGTGTATTTCATATAGGTATCTCTTAATCCAGAGTGAAACGAGTGAATCGACAATGATGTACCGTCGTTAGCAAGTCCTATTCGTTTGCAAAAGATTTCGAGCGCTGAAAATTTCCGAGAGAAATTTTTCAATTAATTATTGTTATTAACAATGAATAAATTCAGTGATTAATCAAATTGCTCTCCTGCACATGATAAAATTAGGGTGCCGTGACTGGCAGCCATATTCTCGAAGCGAAGAAGAGCCGGATTTCAGGCAAAAAAGGAGAAATAAAAAGAGGTACGAAGGTGAGGGTGGGTAGAGCCGCATTTACCGAACAGTAATGGTTGCGGAAGCCACACTTAGCCCCTCACTTCCGGTCAGAAGTTCACCTAGCTCGTATCCGGATACCATGAATCCTCAGACACTCTCTTGAGGAGCATATCCTGAGCGCCATTCACCTCTTTTCTTCCTGAGTTTTCATGTGTATTTCACGCGATCGTCAATCTTGAGTCCGAGTGATGTACTGGAATGGATGGATGTAAGAAAATAATTCTCTCAAGTACTCTTATATTTATTGTACCTGAATTGTTGTAAATTATGATTTTGCGACATTTACATAGCCTGCAGTGAACTTTGACGGGTGTTACGAAAAATAGTGTAGCATGGCATTTGCCTGCGGTAATGGGTCATTTAAAAATTATAGTAATCCAGACAGAAAAATTTTCCGATCCACTGATATTTATCAGCAACTTGTATATCTTTTTCTCCTTGTTAAGGGCACTGATGAAAATGGAAAAAAAATTATAACTGAAGGTGCAAACAAAAAAATAGGAATTATATGAATGGGATAATTTGCTATACATGTTTTTAAATTTGTGAAAATTCCCAGGGCAGTAGATTGCAGCGAGTGATGACATACACCGATGTACATCAGCAGCTGACTACCATTCACTTCCGGATTAAAGTGACTAAATTAATTGAGCAAATGGCGCATCAGCGCCAAATAAAACCCTGAAGACATTGAAATTACAATACTGTCTCTCTCAATGAAATTCATATTTTATTATCGTGAATTGAAAAGGTACCAGCAGGCTCGCGATTACATTTCGAACGTTATTACATTTCCATTCGTTAAAATACTGATGAAAAAATGGACGAGGACGGGGGGTGTGGTGTGAAACAGACAAGACAATGAATTATCACTAGGAATTACAAGTGTATCTACAGAATTGTATCCTCAGACAACAATTGCGTATTAAAGTGACAAGTGGATAATTAAATTATGACTTAACACTTATGGGGATAACTATTGCCTGCTACTATCTCTTCAAGAAAATTTACAACTCAAGATTTCGTATTGTTTCATCTTCCATTATCTCAATTTAAAAAATTCCTCCAACATCTCCTCATCATCACTTACATCATATGCACTTAAATAGTTGGGGAAAAACAAGTGAATTTGAGATCGAGACTTCATGAGGATGAACAGTTGATTAACGAGAATGAACACATCGATGAAACAGAGAGTTTGAAAAACATAACGTCGACTTCAGGTATCGAATAATTCTCAACCGAAAATACAACAAATTATTTTTCAATTCCCCAGATCTTTTGATTTACATGAATAATCACTAGTTCCATTGAAATAATTTTTAAAAAAAGAAACAAGTCTCAATTCACCTGTCACCTCTAGGATCCTTACAATCTAAACAGAAGAAAAATCTTTGCTGTAATTCGAACGTGTTATTAATTTATTTAACTACTTAAAACTTCACATTGTGAGTCAGGTTTCGTATCCTCTCTCCACGAGGACTTTATTGCTTTCGTTATTCACTGTAATTAAGTGAAATAAGGGTTGAATAAACTCTAGCTACTACGAGAAACAGGAAACATCCTCCTCCAGTAATTTTCATAAATTATCGGAGGAAAAATAATTTCCCCATTATCTCCCTGAGTTCCTATCAATAATCAGTTTTTTTTTTTTCCATTCTCGGCAAATCTCCATCCACCGATGAACGATGAATTGAATTTCTCCCACCAAAAGAATATTTATTCCACTTAATCACAGCTATCGATCGTATATCGGATTAAGTGGACTAATTATCAGTAGTATCAAGTAATCAATTAGTTAAATTACACCGTTATTTACATGATTGTGCCCAGTATCGAGCAGCCGTCCAACATAAATCCCTTGAACGTAAGGCATTCCACCTAGAGCTCCGTAAAAAACTGAGTAAATGTCACGATTATTCATCGTCTTCTATACAGTTTCCAATTTATCGAGTATGAAATACACGGTAATTGGACGGTTATTGTTATATTTACTTTAATGAATATATTGAGACGAGTGAACAAGTTATTGATGTGGTGCAGAGGGAGAATTCGTTCCTTCAATTTTCCCTAAATCCGGATATCGAATTTCTAAGCACAACCATCGGTGAAATACACGGCAACACTATTTTTTTTTTTCTTCATTAAACTACAGGCTATTAGATTAATCAAAAAACAGGGGGAGTTAGAGCTATGATTTTAAATTTTTGATCATTGATTTTGCCCCACTCTTCAGCCACTTCTCACGCTCCATTGACAGCCACGAACTATTTGATTCCTGTGGAGTTTCAGGATGACATTTTCAATCAGTGAATTGATAGTTGAAGCAACTTGTGAACAGCTTGAGAAAAATAATTAAACAAAAGTTGGAAAGCAATTTTTTTAAACTCTATGACGTAGGTGATTGAGAGAGATTGAAATTGTCGAATTGGGGGGATTGATTTTGGGTAAGATACAGGCTGGGATGATGTGATATTTCAGCTGCCACGTACGTTTGTTGAGGACGCCCCCTCGCCTCTTTGAACTTTCAACCACTCGACAAATTCGTCGAGCATTACTGGCCCTGAAATGATAAATTTCCATCCAGTTTCACTCGTTTCATAATTTTGCAACTTTTACTTTATTAAACCTGATGCATTTTTAAACGACTGCAGACAATTATAAAAAAAAAAAATAATCATACTCACATGCTCCATCCAGATCATAATTGGATAAATCATTATTAATAGTCCGTGAAAATTCAAGAATGTTGCACCACTGGTCTTTGTTGATAACTTTGTACTTGGACTGATCTAAGAATTGTGCAAATTGGGAAAATAAAGGCCAGTGTCTTCCTAAAAGTAGCTGGAGCATCACTCGAGCTGTCTCCATATCCATACTGCGCTGATCCTTATCCTAACATCCCCAAAGAATCCCAATCAATAATAAATTCATGGAATGGAACATGGAAATGTCAAAAAGATGCAATTAAATAAAAAAAAAAATGAATTCTCACCCTAGCAAAATCATACGCATATCTGTAAATTCCCTTGAAGGTGTGTGGCTCATTGAGTAAATTCCTCAGGTATTCTAATTTCTGTTGTATTTTACCTATCGTATCACACTGGAGCTCCGACAAGCCCTTGAGCCACTCACTCATCGTGAAAAATCCCATCTGACGTGCATTCATCTTGTAGGCGAGAACAAGCATAACGACATTCTCAGGCTCAACGGCAATGTCCTCGCAGAATTTCTCCATACCCTCGGGGCCAAGTGTATCGGGATCATCTGGCACTGTGTACTCCCTGAACCACGCGATACATCGTTTCTGAGAGAACGACGATGTACTTGAGACATCCTCTGTTTTTGTGCAACGCCTGGCGCTAAAAATAAATATCTGGATGAGAAAATCACTTCACATCGTCTGTACACATCCACTGATCCCTCATTATCAATTATTCCCGATGGATAATTCCCCTGCACAGACCTGTTGTCATCCATGCACTGTCAGAATGCCTCCAATTGCTCTCGAATAAATTATTTAATTATTCAAATATCCGTTTTAGAGTTGTTTGAGTTAAATCGAAGGGGTCGTTGGCTGATGGGGAGAGGTTTCGATTTATCTGGGGTTGAGGGTGGAATTTGTGGGATTGAGGAGAGACTTTGGGAGACAGAGAATTGGACCAGTTCAAGTCACTAGGAAGGGCAGACTAAAATTGCCGATCGGCTATTTTTGTACCGCCACAGCACCAACTCACTTCATCCAATGGACTGTCTACTGATGTAATGCTGGGGGTAATGAAAATATCAGTGGCGTCCTTAGGTTCAGAGATATTTATCGAAAATTTATTTATTAGCTGAATCAGGTAATTACGCTCGAACAGGCATTGATTATTTTTCTCCGTTCAGCGTGAAAGGTTGAAAAAAATAGGGAGTGCTCACCTCGATGTGTGTCTCAGTCTTTTCGAGGGATGCCTGGGCATGCTATCCTCGTGTGCACTTGGTGACATATCGGTGGCCGCGTGATGATGATAATTTGTATTGGAGGGCGCTCTCCGCTTACTGCGAGGCATCCCTCCTCCTCTCGTAACCAGTGATTGTCCTATTCGTGCTGGTTCAACGGTTATTCCGTACCCTTGGGGGAACTCAGGTGATAGGATTCTCTGGGTCCAGCCCTTCAACACCAATTTTTCCATATATCCCCAAATAATTTCAAGACCTTGACTACTTCCTCACTTCTCCCTCTTATATATCAATCTCTTGGTCCATTCATTCCCATTTATCAATCAATCGCCAATTAATACATCACACGACAAATTTCTCTTTAATTTTATTCATTGTAAGTTTTGATTTTTAGAAATTTTTTAAATCAATTTCATCTGGTAGACAAAAACAGAAATAAATGAAGAAAAAAATTAACCTCTCCGTACGTCATTAGCCACAGGAAAATTCTCGAGTAATTTCGTTTACAACAGTCGACCTGTACTTTCGGATTTCTCCGATTAATAAAAATAATATTTGCCCACTGCTGAAAGCCACAAATAACCGATGAAAAACGTGTACTCGAATATTATTGAAACCCTGACAATTAATAACGAAAAAAAAAAATAAAACAAAGTCCCCAGATGCTGAATCAAAACAGAATTTACCCTCTCTGCTCGAACTGCGAACCAGGAAAATCAGAATAATTAAGAAAACCAATAACTTTCGCTAAATCCGAGCCCAAGGCCCAGGGCGATCCTCGACCTTCACTTCCTGCTCCTCCATCAATAAAAAAAAATCAATTCCTGCACAAACCTCAGGTAGACAACCAAAAATCTGAATTCCCGAGTCATCGCAATCCTAACAACGACAGATAATTCAAAAAAAAAAAAGGAGAGTAAATTCAAGGTCCCCAGGTCGTGAGTGAAATTGCCCTTCGCAAGTTCAAAAATATGATTAGACGTTATCTCCAAAAAATGAACTCACGTTACAATTGTACTGATTCTCCGACAAATTGAAGGATCCAAGCTGATCAGTTATGAACTGTGTCTCGTAACGATTCTCCTGCTCCTTCTCAGCCGTCTCCGACAGTATTGAGGTTAGGTTCATCAATACATCCTATGCCCCCGAAAATCACGTTTTCAAATTTCCCCGTACTCCCCCGATCGCCCCTTTGACAAACAAAATGTTAATTTAACCAGACGATCAGAATGCAGAGTTCCACGATGGCACTTTTTACAGTTTAACGATTGGACCAGTGGGCATGCAAAGCAGATGGCTTTTTAATTATTACTTAGGCCCCGATGCCTTAAAAATTGCCTTCGGCTGGCGATGGAGAGCAGTAAGTTTTAGAGGGGGGTGGTAAGGGGGTGAGGATGCGGGAGGGGGAGGGGTGCTGAGGGAGGATGTGGATGTGGGGATCTTTCAATTTTTATTTCTTACCCTCCCCCTTCGTTCGGATAAACAAATGATTAAAAGCCAGGCACTGAGTTTTGCGGGCATGCAAATTTTGAAAAAACCAGAATTTTTTGAAGAATGCAGGGGAAGAAATTTTTGACACAATTTTTTTTTGTTATTGGAGAGGGGCGATGAAAAAAAAATGGAACCAACCTGTTTTTTGTTTTTAATGGTGAGTGATTTGGTTATTTGAAGGGGGTTAGTGGCTTCTTTAGGGGGTTGTTTAATTATTGGGGTTTGGGGGAATAAATGTGATTTTGGTATTACCCCTAGGCCCTACAGTCTGTCACTGCCAACGTCTCGTCTGCCAAACCACCAGTCGTTTTGTGGAGCCCCTGCAGAGGTCGGGATTTAATTGTTGGGAGTATTTATTGTTGATTATTTGGAGGCGATTCGTTGCATTACATTGGGAAATTGTTGGAGCCAGTTTTTTTTGCAGATGTCGATCCCCCAGATGTGGCTAATGAGACGAGGATTCAGGGGAATTTTCCAGAGGTAATTGTCATTGTGATTATTAATTTGTTTGTATTAGATGGCTGTCATAACCAAGAAAAATTAATCCTGGGAATTAATTACAAAGTTGTTGAAGTACTTCTAGAATTTCCTCGGTCTCTCCCCAACGATCATTGAAGACTCAGCCAGACGTGGACCCTGAGGATGACGAGTTAAATCGACCGATTACGTACTCTACATCTCCAGCTGCTTCCTGGAGAGCAAGACATAGCTTTCAGGGAGGAAATCAGGATGATGTACCCTGGTTTCAACCGTATGTGGTCATGGCCAGTACTGCTGCATTTCTCGTGTACTTCTTGTACTTGAGAAAACCTAACGACATCGATCAGATCTTCGATCGAGAGCTCGGGGATTACTTCGACGTCAGCAACGACGACCTGAGGAAAAGACTCGGACAGAATACAGTCATTAGGAGATAATTCCCTTCCTGATTTCCGATTTTTCCTGAATAATAATAGAAATACCAGTAATTGGGATAATTTTGGAATGACCTTTTCTGTAGATCTCCTTCTAGTCTAAAAAAAATATCCTGAGAACAATTTTGCTGTCTCTGTTGAATTCGGAGATATTACCCGAGAACTTGAAATGTTTTGCAAAAACGACTTCGTTACTGAAATGTAAATAAGAAATCTCTCAATTGTAATTATTATTAGAGGGGTGAAATAAATAGTTCGTTGGAGTGAAAAATAATTCAATTGGTAAAGGAAATAATTAAAAATATTTTATTAATGTTTGGAGTTGTTCCTTCGGTTCTACATGATACTTTGATCAATTTCTTTAATTACTCTAATCAATTATTCATTATATGGAGTCACTCGATTTGATTGATTCACAAGGGATAAAGCAGTTGGCCCCAGAATATGTTACTCACGATCTCTCCCCACTCAATGGAGGGATGATACGTGAGAGTATCTGGAATACAACGTTTCCAGGTGTCTCTCCAGGGTGCTGAAACTGTCGTCATCGAAAGAGTAATTGCTCCAGATTGATCTCTAGGTTTCATCAGCAATTTAACTGAACCTGAAATTAAATTGGACAAATATGTCAATGAAAAATTTCCTTTAATTTCTCTATACACTCACTATTCGTGCTTTTAGATCGAAAGAACCAGCAGAAAAAGGTGTAGGCTGGTATCACTTGCAGATAAAATCTTAATCTCGTAAGAAAGCCCCCGAATCCAATGAGAATTAACCTGAGCTGTTGAAAAACGTCAATGCATTACCGATAAGTAAATAACTCGATTGAAAAAATCTACAATTCTTACTGTTGTGAAGACTGAGTAATAAACCCAAGTGGTTGGCATGAGAAATAGACTAATGGTGAATAAAAGTGTCCCAACGAACAACTGATCCGCCTGATACTGACAAGAGTCTACTCGTTCCCTCAGGGGATTTCTTTTTTTCCCAAGGAATAGACGAAAGAGAGCTGTCAAACCACGCACTTGAATATTAAATAATCTGAAACGAGACATTTCAATAAATTCTCCAGAATCTCTCTCTCACAAATAAATTCCTCTAATTTCGTCATTAAATCACTTCACCTGGCAGCATAAATATAAATACAATAAGTATGAAAACTGACGAGTGCCAGTAGATCAGCTGCGATCGATATCTGGAAGGTAATTCCCAGTCTTCCGAAGAGAAGTAAAACCTCGAAGAAAAAATTCATCACTGGTTTTATAGAGACAAGGAACGTCCACCAGAGGTGAATGTGATACAGGAAGAATTTTCCCAGCATTTTGTTGAAGGAGTGATTGAGTTTTAGACCAGCTGGAGAGCCCATCAGCCAGTGGATGAGGCTCTTCAACGATTCCACGACTTTCTGGAAAAAAAGCAATTCAATTTTATGAATATTCCTCTCCACGTCGTCATCCCTCACCTCAGCATTATCTAGCAGCACCTGGGAGGGTGGTATCCCCCCGATATAATGCAGAAGCAGTCTTAGAGCCATCACCCCAAGGTAAACATCAAACATGGTTGCAAGAATGTGATTTCTGGTCTTCAAGCTGATTCTCCTGTCTTGGGCTACAGTCGCCAGCATCCATTTGGTATTTTCCAGCCATCCATGGACATGGAGCCCCAGTGTCGAGTACTTGAGGGCTGGCATCAGTCTATTCGTGAGTTTTCCCAGGAATAAGACAGGGTACATCAACCCCAGGACTGTATACATGAGGAAGGCCTCTCTGACCCTCACAACCATTCCCTTTTCTGTCACCTCGACTTGCCTCCTCTCCAGGATGGCCTTTAACTCGAGGAAGTGGTCCCCATAGTGCTCAGAACTTCTGAACAACTCGGCCTTCAGCAGCCCAACCTGATCATAAATTATTTTCACCGTATGCTGGGAATTCTCGGTCAGTTCTACTCTGTGGTTGTCTATGGTTACATTTTTTAAATAGTAATCGTGACATCTTCTGGAGTTCGAGGGCTTCGACGAGATCTCTATCCAGTTCCATGTCCTTCTGTCGATCTTGGATACCTCTTTGCATCCCCAGTAGTACCCGATCAGGTCTGAGTGGATCTTTGGAGTGCCACGAGGGCAAGACTGTGTACCAATTATGTAGAATTTTTTACTCTCACTCTCGGAGTCGTAGACCACCTTTCCTGTTATGTACCCAGGGGCTTCGTAGAAAAAATTCCTGGGAATAAACACTAACAGCGACTTCATCCCTTCCCACAGAACCTTGGCTCCGAGGAGTTACTTATTCAGGTTTAAACCATCCAGAAGAAAAAAAAAAATTTTCGTTCAAGAAAAAATAAATAAATAATTAACGAATCGCACGTGTTGTCCCGTGATACGCTGCACCCATTCACGCACTGTAGAGCGATCAGCTGTTCTCAAGGATGTTTGTATATGTGTAACATATACCATTCGCTCTTCATTCCCTTGGCCTCAGGTAATCCAGTTAAAGCTCTAATTTTTCATGTGCCCAAAGGCGATTGAGGATGACAGCAAGTGCAATTGCCACGTGAAAAAACCACCGGTGGTGTCGAAAATTAAAAAATCACATCAACAGCCTCTGGATGATGTTGAACGAGGGGAAAGACGAATCGACGAGAAATGTTGATTATCAAAATTCGCCCAGCGACACCGAAAGCTGCAACGTGGCGAGTGAATCGCCACGAAATCCATCGTTAGAGGAGAGAATCGCCAGCAAGATGTTGTCTTACTCACGTGAAACGATTTGTTTATTCATCGGAATCTTCACATTTGGCATTGCATTCGCAGCATTGCACACAGCGTGAGTTCTAGGTTATGGCTTTGGGTTAGAAATATTTTTTGGGGGGATGAATATTTTGAATCTGTGAAACGGTTCGACCTAACCAGTGGTCGGGAATTTTTTTATTCAATTTTTTGGGGTTGAAGATTTTTTTTCTGGAGTTTCAGGGCCCCCAGGGTCTCCAAGCCGCCGCTGGCTCGACCATTTTTTAATGAAAATTCAATGGTCATTGACTTCTACAAGGGACAAGTCAGTGCAATGATCGAACGAGTCTCCGATTCTGATTTCTGTTTTGTTATGTATTATGCACCCTGGGATGCTCAGTCCCAAGCTGTCAGGGAGGAGTTTGAGATTGTTGCTCGTCAATATCATTCACAGGTAGAGATATGAAATTCAGGAAATCCTATTTAATTTCTGTTGGTGTATTTTTTTTTCATAAAACTCTACTCTAGGTGTTCTTCTCCGCGATAAACTGCTGGCATCCAGGTTCAGAGTGTCGAGCTCAGTACCCAAAGATCCGCAGCTACCCTCTTCTGATTCTTTATCCTCTCCGAGGGACAGGGGTGCAGTATAAGAGCGTCCCCACAGCCCCCTACATGCTGGCATTTCTCCGGAGTTACCTTCATCCCCTCACTCGAATTTCCACGGAGGAAGACCTCCAGGAGCTGCTGCCACACCCAGTATTCGTAGGATTCTTCAACTTTAGCAGTTTGTCCATGAGCCCAGGGTATCAGGAGTTTTACAGAGCCTCAGTGCGTTCCCTGGAGCTCGATCCAAATCGAGAGGTGAAATTCGCAGTTGCCACGTCACCATTGAGCATCAGCCCTTCCCCTCTGCCCTCAGTGAGTTTCTATCTCTGGAATGAGACGCTGATCTACCCATCGACGAGTCCCTGGACATCAGATAGTCTCCTGCAATGGCTGGAGGCATCAATTCACCGGGTCTCCGCGTGGCTGCAGCCCCCAGGCACCAAATCCCTCACTCTGGCCCCTCACCTCTCCTCGGGACCTGTCATTCTGATGTTCACCCCCAGGAATCCTCTTCACCCCTCCAACTACAATTACAACCTCCTCCAGGAAGTTGCCCTGGAGTATCACGACTGCGAGAGCCTCTGGTGGACACAAAAACTCATCGACAAGCTGCGAAAAGAGAGACAGACCTCGAAGAAAAATTACCTGGAGATGATTCAGAGGTGTGCAGAGCTGTCGAACAGCAACGAGAGCCCCATCCCCTTGAGTATTTCCCTCCAACGATGGGTCAACGACAGTTGTTGTGCCAAAATTTTCATGAACAAGTGCCTCCTCTGCAAGAGGAGCCTAGAGCACTCTGGAGGTGTGTGCAACAGCCCTGAAAGCCTCCAGGACATTTGCAGTCAGAAGGACGTCTTCAGGGTGAGAAATGAGGGGGATTTCGAGAAAAATCTCTGTTGCGATGACGACCCACGAGAGTCTGCGGCCTCTGCAGCATCTTCTGGAGCACCTGGGGGAGCTAGAAAATTTTCTTCATCGATTATCACGGGGGAGGACGACCCCCGGTCGCCAGAGAACGTCAGGAAACGCCTGGCAGAAGAGAGCTGTAAATTTCTTCTGTTGGGAAACAAGTATCAACCCCCAATATTTCCAGTTGTCCTGGAAGGTGACGAGAGGAGGCTGGAGGCTGCTTGCACCACCAACAAGTCCCTGACGTTCCTTGCAATTGACAGTCTGAGGTATTTTCATTTTGCCGAGGCCCTGGGAATTGATCTCCTGAGGATTCAGGACAAAACAGCTGTCGTTATCCTGGACTCTGCTCAGGAGAGTCAGTATCTCCTGGAGGGACCCCTAGGGAGGGCTGTTCTCGTCAGGTTCGTCCAGGAGTTCAACAATGCTACCCTCAAGAGGAACCTAAGGTCTGACTCCAGCAGAAGATACGCCCGGGACTTCCAGCCTGTTTATCAGTGCAGGGAACAGCCTCAGGATCAGGTCTGCGTCCAGGAGCTCACCACTGAAAATTTTCTTGGGGTCGTCATGGATCCAGAGAGGGATGTCGTAGTTTTTTATCACTCACCGTACTGCGCCTTCTGTGGTGCCGTCAGTTATGTATTTCTTACAGTCGCTCGATATCTCAAGGGAATGAGTAATCTCGCATTCGTTAGAATCGACGGGGATAATAATGATTTGCCTTGGGAGTACAGCATGAATCGCTATCCGGCGGTTCTCTTCTTTCCGGCTAAGAGGTAATTTGTGAATCAGACGTGATTATTAATGATGAGGTGTTTAGTCCGATGATGTGAGATAGCATTTAGAAGAATTTTTTTATCGCCTCGTAAACCTCTTCCTTTGGGAGGTCTACGAAATGAGAAAAGTAGAAATCCCTTTCAGTCATCAGATATTTAAAAATCCATGGATTTTAAATGAATGAAATATTTATTTATCTTCACTTTTGTCATGAATTTTACAATTAATTATCTCGATTGCTAATTTATCGTTATGATTTAATTTCAGAAAAGAGGACAGTACGGTGTATCCATTCACCCTGCCGATAACAATTCCAAATCTATTAAATTTCGTTCTCGCTAATTTAAACGATGATTCACACATCGAAGCTCTCGTGAATGTGTGTCACACTGGAGCTGGTGAGCCACCAAAAGACTGCGTAGCTAGAATACGAAGGCTGTGCCTGGATATTATTCATAATCAATTGGCTATTTACCGGAAGCTGCGGAGGCAGAGGCAATACCTCTCCAAGATGACGATATCTAACAAGAGGAGGGAAATATCACGACGCCTCGAGCTTGTTCGAGAGATCCACCTGATTCTCAGTTCAGTGGACGACCTGGAGACTGATCTGGAAAAATTTTCCAAAATTCTCCAAAAATTCCGCGCCTACAGGAGGCCAAAGAAAATTGCCAGTGAGACCTGTGAAATCTCACGTGGAGAAGCTAGAGATAAGAGGCGAATTGGATCTCTGAGGGACGAGTTATGATGACAAGTTTTTATAGAAAATTCGAGGAAAATGTACAGTTATGTAATGAAGTCAGAAGTGGAAAGGAGATAATTCGGATTTAATATATTTAATTATCGATTTATCTGGAGAATTATTGATTTCAGGTGGAAATGTTGCGGGACTTTTTTGGAGCTGATTAAATTTCCGTCAAAAAAAGGTCCCATAATATTTTCTTCTAAAATCAATAGAAATTGAAAATTCTGCAGTGAATAAGGAGTGGAGTGCAAAAATGAGATGATCGAACTTACCCTTTTTAATCGTCGATTTATCTCAGAAACTATCGATTTTCCCGAAAAACGTTAAATAACTTTTTTTGTAGCCATCTCAATTTCCTCCAAAAAAGTTCTTCAACATTTCCTCCTAAAATCACTAATTCCTGAGATAATGACGATTATGCGACCATAAAATTCGACGTATCTCATCCCACTACTTCCCTCCGAAATCGTCCACACCGTTATCACCCCCCACGAAGACCCTGTAAATATCGTTAAAAATAAAAAAACTATTATTTTACCTCCGAGCTGTTAGATCCCCTCCCCCTGACCATTACCTCAACAATCTCGATTACTCACATCGATTTATTTATGGTCATCGCTCGCACCCCCTCCACAAATTCCGAGAACTCTCGATGAGCGATAAGAACGTGACCTTTTTATATGTAAGCCCATCGATGACAACTTCCGGTCATTCAAACATTCCCTCCACTCCCCTCCATCATCGCCCTCCCCCTCCCACCTTCGACCCGGGAAAAATCAAACTCAATTCAAACCCCAAAAATCTTCAATTTACCAATATTGGTTGATTCCCACCAAAAATCACTTGAAACAGAAAAAAAAGTGAGGAAAATACGTCTTGAAAGAGCGGAATGATGAAAATAATGTGAAAAATAGAAAATATTAAAAAATGGCAAGAATGGGAAGGCAGGAGAGAATAGGAGAGGATGAAAATATTTGAAAGTAGTTGAATAGAGTTGAAAAGGGTGAAAACTGTGATAAATAATAAATGTTAATCAGTTGGTAAACATGATAGCGATGGGAGCGCCCTCCCGGACGTGTTCCATTGTCAAAAAATAATAAAATCGTGCAGTTGTGGAGTGCTCCCCCGAGAAGCGTGCAGATTTCCCTGGAAGGTGATAATACCCCTGGTACTCCCCCAACAAAAACCCCCACCCAGGTGAGGTGAACCCCAGGGGCCGATCCGTTGGTATATTCCGAAGGGAAATAATGGTGGAGAGTAGTGTGGCTTGTTCTGACAATGAGCCGCCACGGTGACTGTGATAAGTGAGACTCCTTATTCCTCACGCCTCGATTAACAAACGCGCAGTGGCAGTGGAGAAAGATAGACAAAAAAAAAAGAAGAAGAGGAGGAAGATAAAAAAAAGTTGTCCCAAGGGAGTGAGTGCACTTGAGCCATTGGGAGATTAATACCAGTGGGATCCACTGTTTCATCGATGACTCGTTAATTCATACCATTGTTACCCCCCCAAAACGTGAGGTGATAGCTGGTGCCCTGTGCCCCCCAGTGATTGTTATCGTTTAATTCGGTTATCATAATTATGTTCAATGTACCGCCCAAGTTCTACGAGCTGTGTCGCCTTTGTTTATCGTCGGATGGTGTCAAATTGTCGATATTCGAGGAGGAAGGGGCACAGCGTAATTTTGCCGACAAAATACTAACGTGTCTGTCGATATCGGTGAGTTTTTTTATATTTGATTTTTATCACTTTTGAACCCACCGTTATCCCACACTTTATTCATCAATTTTACATCGCCTGGGACAATGGGGGAGACGTTACGTGGATTTCTCTCGTTTGGATAATTTCGGGTGGATAAAGAGTCATCGGAAATAGACGCAACATCTGGGGGGTCGTGAGCATTTTCACTCTTACGTTTTCGTCATTTTTTTTTTCTTTCCAGGAGAGATAAATACGAGAAATGAATTGATCTCGAGGCTGTCGTTATCTGGATTATCTGAGTGGAGTGATTTGATAGTGCAGTGTGGTGGGATGTTTTTTTTTTTGTCATTGTTCTGGCTGTGTGAATTTTCTGGTCGATTCGTACGGGTATACCTCTCCTCCATGGGGAGAGAAAGTTTGGCAGAGGAGAGATGTGGCCACGAGATAAGCCAGCACACGGGCGATTTAAAATGGCAGTGATAAGCCTTTCCCCCCCACCTCCCACTGTCCCATTCCCCAACGATTTCAAGACGGTTAGAACCTGTGGGCTTCGACGGCTCCTTCCACTTTTTACTGGTTCTGTTTATGACTGTCTTTTTTACGTTTAGTTTGGGCTCTGGCGTTTCCTTCTTTTCATTTTTTTTTATCTTCACGTTCGAGTTTTATTTCCCTTTCCTTTCTGCTCTGTCCTCCACGCCACGATCTCTTTTCGCGGCACCCGCTACGGGGGACATATATAACGCCCGTTACGAGGGATCGAGACTCCTTATTTGGACCGCCCTCTTATCAGGTTTCACACGCCTGCAGACAGAACTGTACGCACTCTTGTCACTGAATCACGGCGTCGAGTTTCCCCTAAAGTGATTTTTACAGGGAAGTTTTGGAGGGGAGATGTTGATTGCCAAAGGAGAGGATTGTTTCTTTGTTTGAGGTGAGGGGATTCGAGTATTTTGGGAATATCTCGACGGCGGGGGGTGACCAGGGGGGATTGTTGAGGCGGCATTTTGGGGGCAATTTTGAGGGCTAAAAAAAGTTGCTCTGGGTATTTTTTTGTAGGCCCTCGAGTTTTTGAGATATTGGCGGATCACACTGGAAGCGATTTTCCGAATTGGTTGGAGGAAATTTGGGAGCATCGTGGGAGGATGTGGGCTTAGGGGGAAATGGGTGAGGAACTTTTTTGAGAGGGCTTTGAGGGCTACAGAAAGTTCCCCGAGAAATTTTTGATAGGGGTAGGAGTTTCTGAGATATTGACGAATGATCATTGCTTGAATTTTGGGGGATTATTTGAGAATTTCTGGAGAGGAAGTGGATTTCGAGGAAAAATGCAGTGGAAGATTTTTTGTAGAGAATTTCGAGGGCTTCAGAAAAGGTCCTTTGACACATTCCATCAGGTTAATGGTTTCTGGATTATTCCAGGAAAAGCATGAATGAGGAAGTGAGGTCTGGGCTTATCAATTCTTATCGACCAATCGCACATATAATTGATTATTTCATTATCTACAGATTTTTATTAGCATCGACATATCCATCAATTTCTCACGATTTTGGTGTCATGACTGACACACAACTGAGATTAATTAATTTATTCCCATATAATAATTTCAGGTGAACGATGGCGACTCCCTGCCGCCCATCATCTGTCACCGGTGTGTGTACAAACTGGATGTACTCCACAACTTTCGTGAGGTGTCTCGTAAATCCGACGTCATACTCAAACAGTACCTGGACTATGCCAAGCAGTTGTCATCAGCAGACAACCAGGTACAAGAAGAAAAAATAATAATCCTTTTAACTCCACCTGTTACAATAACACGAAAAAGATGTCGCATTGCGAAAGACAATTGGCAAATTTTGCTGACACCAACAACTCGAGAAAATATGCAGCATATGCACATGACAGCTTATCATTTATCATTATATCCCCCGAGAATAAAAAAAAAACAATAAATAAATTGAGGGAGACGTTCCCATTCCTGAGGGGATAATTTCTCTTCTATTATTCCAGGACAAGTCTTTCTCCACTGCCAAAATAGCTGACCTGAGTCCACTGCAATCATTTCTTCAGCTGAACAAAACCCTCTTCAATGAGGAGCCCAACTCCCCCGCAAGCATCAATCAAAATGTATTACCTCAAACGCAGACCCATCACCTCGAATTAAGGGCTAATGATATGCCAGATTCTGAAAATGTCAAGTGCGAGCCTGAGGACGACACGTGCTCAAACAGCTCTGATCCAGACAGATTGGAAATTGAGGATCGAGATGAGAATGACGATGATGCAGACGAGAATGGCTATGACATGACAGTTAAACGTAAGAGAATGGATGATAATTACGATGACTCCAAGAGAGAGTCACCCAATCGCAGTCCAGTCAATCGAATGGACACACCTGAGAGCAACTGCTCCGACACTAACATCGACCAGGAGACGACGAAGCTGTGGCAGGCACTTGCTAAGTGAGTATTTAATCATAATCGATTTTCCAAATCTTTAATCATTTTTTACTCAACTTGAATTCAGTCTATACGGTTTTTTATAAATATCCCGTAATTTAGGGCTTCGAATGTGAATTATTTCACTGCCCCAGTTTTTGTCGCGGAACCCTTCCCCATTTTTTGAATTCCTTCTCGATGAGAAATTGGTTAAAAACCCCAGAAAACTCAGAGTTGGCATTAGTCCTCCTGAAAGAAATGCATTGTGCGTCCTATAAATAGTCATGATTGTAAATCGAGATTGAATAATAATGAGATAGGTGTGATATCACTCCGTTAATTTTTCTTTCCCCTCCCGTTCATTACCATACAATAAATGACGATAGCCACAGGAAAAAAATTATATTTCACAAAATATATCTATCTACCCCAATTTCAATGAACAGAATAATAAAAAAAATATTTATACACATATTTTGCCCAGATTCTGCATAAATTTTGTAAATCTGAGTCATTGGCGCATGAGATTGAATTTTTCGAAATTTCGTTCAATGGGAAAAATCGTTTAAAATTGCACACCAAGTTTTTTTTCTATTTTTTCTTTATCCCTCAACGTTGAAAGACCAAACTACTGGATTTCTGTGGATTCCAGCAATCGGAGTTTAGAGATAACAAGGACCAATGGTGACAAAGTGAACAATGGATTCTCTGGTGAAGCTACGAATCTCCTCCGATCACTCATAAACAACCGGCAAATTGGAATAACAGCGGTGGACACTGGGAGGATTTCCCCCCAAATAAAATTCTACAGGGACACGCAGGGCACAACAATGGAGAGGACCGATTGTTCGATTTTGGGAAATCGAACGAACATGCAGTCACTGGAGTGCAAGGTAATTGCCCCCAATTAACCAATCAACGACCGAAACTAAACTTGACAATAAATAATCCTGAAGCCAATGAAAACGCCCAGAATTTCCTCCAAAAATTCTGCCGAGAAAATTCAACTCGACTGTAAACAAAGCTGAGCTACCAGCATCTCCTCAAATATTTATCTATCACTTCCACTAACTGCAGACGAGATAAACCCTGATAACCCCGAATAATCATGAAAATAATTCGAAAACCTGACTCCCGAATTTGCCCAGCAAACAGTGAAGCCCGAAAAATGCCGGATAAATCGAAATATGTTGGAGTAAAGGCTCTGGAAGTAGATTGGTGTTTGCACAATGCAAATAGTACCCTCGGTGGGTACCTCGCAGGTATAAAGAGTGGCAGGTCAGGTGACCCTTCGGGATGTCAAAGAGAATCCCCACCTTCCATAGGATTTTTTTTTCCTTTCTGGTCCTTGCTATTCAAGTCCCACCTGCCTGGTTTTCAGGTATTGAGGTAAAAGGTACCTCGGGGCCCTCTCTCCATCTCCCTCTTCCTGGAGGGGGGGAAAGTGGGGGGACCACATAGCAAGATAATAGATAACTAGGAGAGGCGACGCTTTGTGATATGCCCTGGAGAGCCATTGAAAATGGAATCGGGAACCTTTACCGTGTCAATCCTGCTGTTAACAGATGTTCAGATAAGCCTGAGAGCTCAATGGGCGAGTTTTAGGGCGTCAACCATTGTTGGCTAAAATTCTCGAGGGCATTTTTCGAGAATTTTAACTCAGTTACTCCTACGATGAGCATCGTTAGGGGGTACTGCTTCCTCTTTGTTCGATTTTTCCATTGCACTGGGTTTACCTTTCTTGGAACTAAATCGGGATAGATACTAGCATTTTCTATGATGTATCGGGGAATTTTACTGGAATTATTTTACGACGGATACCTGCCCTCTGGTACCCGCGGTAAATATTATCTTTTCAGGGTTTTGACAAATCTCATGGAGATTTTTTGGTCTCTTGAAATACTTGCAGATTGCTGGCCTGATAGATTAAGAATTGTTCGTATAAAAAAAAAAATGTCGAGGGAATTTTTTTGTGGAGAATCTCAACGGCCTACAAAAAAATATCTGAATTTTTTTCTTGTAAATTCAATACCTATGGAGCTATTGCGAAAAATGGCAAACATTATTATCTGATTTTCATGTTTGATTTATGTAAATGATTTTAATTGTTCCAGAGTGCATCAATGGACAGTAATCCGTCCAGTCCAGCCAGTATTGGTAGAAAAGAGACAAAAGGTAGGAGAAAACAGAGTTACCCGAGTAAAGCACCCACGAGTCCAGACACCATGAATTATCAGCAGGATATTAGTGATGAGCAAGCACAAAATTTCACAACGTGGTCAAATAAATTAAAGAGCAAGGTAAATCCCTGTGAAAAGCCCCTAGAATTTATTACCCCCGTATCGTTATTTCAGCTGAATATTTTTTTTTCCCTCAAGGTTGATGAACAGAAGCAGCACTTTGACCAGCAAAGTGGCAACATGACAAAAAAAGTCGACATGTCCTGTACAAATTGTGGTACGATGACGACGACGATTTGGCGTCGTAACATGAAGGGAGAGATGGTATGCAATGCGTGTGGCCTCTATTACAAGTTGCATGGTGTCAACAGACCCCATACCATGAGGAGGGACACCATTCACACACGCAGACGTCGACCGAAGGGTGAAAAACCCACGAGACATCGAAGTGAGTTAATTATTGAATTATCTATCCGGCAAAATATATGTGTAAATATATTAGAATTTGATTATAAATTGGATGAAATTGAAATTTCTTTACCAGAAAAAGAAGCAGCTATTGCTCCAGCCCAGGCTGACCAGATGGATGCAGAGAGTGCGGACATGCTGGCAGCCCTTCGTCGTCAAATTCAACCGCACCTGATGATGGCTGCTCTGACACCATCCCACCTGTCCTCAGGGCATCCACCATCCAGCCAATTAAATTATCCTCTCCCTCTCTCCACGTATATGATGCACGTGAGTACACCTCACATGTATTCAGTAGATTTAGTTAGTCGTGTTACTCGTGACGGTACAAATGGCAGTACAAATTCGAGTGATGCCCTGAACTTTGCGCAGCACGTTAAAGAGGAGCCCAGAGATCGCCACGACTCGGAGGAAATGGATGATTGTGATGATGAAAATGTCTCTGACGTACCTCTCAATCTAGTATCAACGTCACTGTCGGAAGAGGCCCACTGATCTGAGGAAGATGCTCTCTTGTTACATTTTAATGTCATTAACGTTTTCTACATCGACATTGCCTTATTATATTATTCCGTTACTCATTTTTACTATTTCGTGGTTGAATATATTGAACTCATGCTCTCTACGACGAGTGATCATGGACGAGAAAAGGGAATTATCGATTTTTCACTTTTTTGAGAGAGTGAATTCTGAGAGTTTTTGAGGAATATCTCGAAATCTAAAATCTAAGAGACATTTTCGCAAGAGCTTTTTTGTGGTTCCTAGTATGAACCACAAACAATGCTTTTACAAAAATATCGGTATCTCTCTTGGATTCTGAGGAATTCTTTGAGAACTTCAAACGAAGAAGTGAAGAGTAACAACTCGATTTAGCTAATCATTCCCCCAAAAAAATATCTCTGAATTAGAGGGAGGTAGTGACATTTTCGTTTGAGATGAAAGGGGGATTTTTGTAAAGGGGACGAAGATCTATGAAAAATTTTCATAGAAAAATTGCACTGTCTCCCCTTCATTCGGAGATATCTCTCAATAACTTACGCATTGACTAAATCAACTTGTCCCTCTTTAGATCTTTGATATCGGATTGATTGAATTTATTGGAGTTTGAGTGGAATATTCGACTTTGTTTTCACTGGCATCACTCGATTATGGAGCTAACGAGCCCGTGGTGCAGTGCATTATTTTAAAAATTGATATTAAAAAGCAGTATTAAATGCGAAAGAGGGAAAGAGAATAAAAAGATTACACTGAAGTCATCGGAACAATATCATAAATGTTAAAACGTTTACTTAACAAAGGATAATATTTTTTATAAAGCTGAACATTTTTGTACGAGTTGATGGAAAACTACGAATTAATTGTACATACGCGCAAACTTAAACTCGAAAACGAGTGGTTGAGGTTTTTATTTTTAATCGAGGGAATACCGAGATTTTCATTGATTTATTTCAATTATTTGATTTTAATGGGTAGGACATTTTTATTTTTTTTTTTTTTGCTGATTCCAAATCATCTCGATGACGAGTGATTCAGTACTTTTACTTCACTTGCGAGTAATTGAATTCAAAATTTTAGTTAGTGCGAATGATTTATTTTGTTCCACGGGCTGTTTAGCTGACACTAAGAACAATAATACTCTTTTTAAACATTTTATTTTTCTCTTTTTTAAATCGAAAGGGAGAGGGTTTTAGAGGTGAATTTATCGAATTTCATTGGATATTTTGGGATTTAATGATACTGCAGATGTGTACTTGCGACTCGGGTGAAAATTATTTTTGAATTTTTGCGGTTTATTAATATTTGCCAGTGTCAATGTGATTCGCCATGACTTTACCCCATCAAGTGCTATTTCTCGATTATAAAATAAATTCTACCCCGAGAAGAAATTCAAAACGGAGAATTTACTTACTGAGTAGAATTAAGAAATCTATAAAAACAATACGAAAAAAAAAATGAGAATTTTTATACGCTGAACAAGTGCCGATAACTTTTTAAACGATATTTTTTTTAAAATCATTGAAAATACGAAAAATCATCACAATAATTTCACTCTAAATGGCAAAATCATTCTAATTACTGTTATGTACTTAAACATTGATTAAATGCCAGTTGTGCTCATGCAAAAGCGATGAAAAAAAAAACCTAAGCAGTAACGATAAATAAAAAAGATAAATAACAGAGATAGAGATAAAGGAAAGATACAGGACGGCCAGAAAACTATGCAGGAATACATAAATATTAAATAATTAAATGATATTCGCTTTTACTCTGGATACGCATTGAATGACAAATTAATGCAGTCAGTCGACAATATCAAGTCTTAATTAATGATGAGTTTAATGAATTATTGGGTGTGTCCCAGGAATCATTGAGATGCCTCTGTTGGATTTGAATGACGAATAACGAACTATTAAACAAACCATTGAACATGAAAATAAACTAAAGGTGAAACACAGGAAAATGATAAAACAATGGCCAGTGCATTTACTCATGTAACCGTTAATTATTCTAATGTCATAATACCTAAATAACTTTGCCAAAAATAGATTTAGTCTTTGTAACATAGATATAGTTAAGGGCATCGAACAAGACAAATTACTATTCGTTCTATTCGTTGTTTGATGGTCTGAACAGAGATTTTTCAGTGGTGGGGATTGAAGACTTGAGAGTTGACTGGCAATTTAACGAGAACTCCATCCATCCAGCCTTATTACAGAAACAGTTTTATGAAACAGAATGTATTTGTATATATGATATTCTATATTATGTGCTCGTGAGGGATATTTTGGCCACATATACAACCATGACTATAAATTAGAAATTGAATCAGTTGTGGAGTGATAAAAGCCAGTGGGGAAAAAGTATTTTTCATCCAAGTTCACTTGATGCAGGAAAACATCCTGTCATTTTTATACAGACCATAATTATTTATCCGAAGATTTCCATTTTTCAAGTTGACAACAATATTTTCTTGTATCGCGGACATTTTCTTGACGAAAAATGGTTTTTTCTTACAACTGGGAGATAACTGGAATTTCTCATTTCTCTCAATCATCGATTGAGATATTTCTCCCTGAAATGATCAGGTGTGGAGATAATCGATATTTGACGAAACTGGGAAATTCTGCTCATTTCACCACTTGGTCTCTGATAAAATGAAAACTTGGGATTTTTTGAATTATTCGAAGAAATGTGATTCTTCCATTGTGCACTTCCTCTCGTTATTCGATTCATTCTTTATTGTTTGATTCGCCATAATTTATTTAGAGACTTTTTGGTTTAGGTAACTGAATTGGAGTTGAATGTTAAAATGTTTGTTGATAGGAATTACTTGGATTTCTAATAATTTCACTCCAATCCAGATTAAACAGAAACATCACAGCACATAAAAAAGACCAAATGGCTACCGCGTGACTCTGCTACTAATGGACAGTTTTATTCGTCAGGCATTTTTCGATTACTCTCGTCACAACTCGAACCATAAACATTATCTCATTATTTACCGATCCAACGATTGCCTTATCCCCAAATCCGTTACTCAATATTGTTTTAGGGGGTAATCGGAGGGAAACGTTAGGCTTTCATAGAGTAAATATAGAATTCGAGGCTCTCTACTAATGAAATTAAAATGATATTTTTATATAACGTACGATGACCGAGTATTGCTATTTTACGATTGATATTAATTGAAACAAAACACGAAAAAAAGTAAAAAAAAAAATACCATATAAATATATAAGAAATAGTGTCGTTAATCATTAAGACTTAGTTGCAAAAATGCCATGGGTTTGACAGTGAAAGAAAAATCATTTCTCTGGCAGTAGCGAAATGCTTCGTTTTAGAAAGAACATGTTTTCGTTTTTCTCTCTCTTTTTTTTACATCAGTATTCCACACCTTTGATTTTAGCCCTTAAGTATCATTTTGAATGACGAACAATACGAAAAAGCATTACTTAAAAGCGAAGAAAGAAAAAAATCAGTTGATTACTTAATTATTTAATTAATTATAGTTTCGTTTTTTACATCTGTTTTTACAGTCCCTCCGTTTTTATTTAAATAATCAATTGTAACTTATTTGTCTCGTCTGTTCGCACATATTTTTTTTTGTGAAATTTTGGCAGCAGCGACTGGCTTAATTTATTATTACGTTTAATATTATTTTGTACGAGTGTATTTTTTTTTTTCTTTTTCATTATTTTTTAATCATCATTGTATCTGCGATGGTATCAGATGGAAATAGTCATTTTTCAGTTTTTCTAGGGATATGGGAGACGGACGGTGGGGGGAGGAGATGGAGTGAAAATGATTCTGGAATGAAATTATAAAACTTGTGCTGGTGATTAATGCATAATTAAATGTCAGTGGTTTGTCGCTGAATGAGATGAAATAATTATTTTACTACGGAAAATTTTGTACAGAATTTTATTGCGATAATCACGTTGAGGTGGGGGAAAACGTGAAAATGGAAAACATTGATCTGAATTAAAATGGCTCATGGCATCTGTTCCGTCCGTCCACGTGACAGCAGAAATAACTCTGAAAGTACTAAAAATTGGAGGAGATCTTGAATTAAATGCGCGTAGACCGTTTAGCATAGAGATTAAATATTAAAATTTATGAATCACGCTTTTCACTGGTTTTTTATAAAAGAGAAACTCATTCATGTCACATCGCGAGTATTAATCAGAACTAATTGACTGAGTATTATTTTTATACCATACATACTTGTAATTAAAAATCGAGATGAAGGAATTCGTGGGCTGTGGACTAAGGCAACAAGTTGACACGTCCAATCATTTTATCGGAGCAATTGATAAATAAAATGTTAACATCATCGTGAGAAAGTTGATTTTTTCATTCAGTCTGAGTGGAATTATCCCGATAAGGACTGCTCCCACGAGAAAACGCTAAAGGAAATTCTTGTGGAGAATGTCATCAGCTTGAAAAAAGCGCAATACCATTTTTCTCTCAGGTCAATCGTTCTCGGGATAAACCCGAAAACCTGACGAATTGAATTTTTATCTTCTTGTGAAATCAATAAACTCAACTTGTGTCTTTGTTCTACTAACCAACAGGACTAATGAAACTGTAATGTAAAATTGAAATTGAAAGTAAGAGCAAAAGCTGCGAATACTCCAGTGAATAATAATTAGAGATTAAAACTGTGAGTGCCCTGTATTTTGTATAAAAAAAATAATATTGTTAATAATTGAAGACATGTGGAGTTACTGTTCTCATTGAATGATATAAAAACCCGAGGAGATGAGTTGAAATGAAAATGAAAAATGTTCAATACGATGTACGGATGGAAACGGTTGCGTGCAAATCGCAATTGGAAACAATTTGAGTAGAATCGAGGAGAAAATCACTGATTTCGAGGAAAATTGTGAAGAATAGGGATAAGTTGGGTCGGGCTGATTATGGCCAACAGCTGTTGAGATTATTCAAGGTTGTGTGTATCGTTATAAGTATTTTTTTGAATTGTTGAGTAGTAAATAGGATGTAAGTGACAATTTAATGAAATCAAACGACCTAGACTCTGATTATTCCTCTGTTTCCTTGATTTGCGTATTGCACGTTTTTTTTTTCTTTATATTTTGATTGAATAATTCGCTGTAAAGTTGAAAAATCATCTGGATTATTTTTCCTCCAGTTTTTCTACAATTGAAATTATTGCGTTTTAACGATTCAACGTACGTTTGTCCTGATTGTCGAAAATCAAAGTTTTATTTTCTCCCGTTCCTTTCAATTTCAATGTTAAGATCGAATCTCCCTCCTCCCACCCAGCCTTCGTAATCTACAATTTATGGTTTCAACAATAAATATGTAACGAAGAAGTGAAGTGATGAATATCTCTGAATCTACCAAAGATAATGTAATTTTTCTGAGGACGTCTTTTATGGGGCATAAAAAGATCCGCAAAAAATGTCCTCACAAAATTTATTAAGCTCTCGTGGATTAAGAGATATTTCCAAAAAACTTCAATTTTTTGAACTTCACTTCTTGGCTACTGAACTGTATTTTTCTCAAATTCTCAAACTCGATTTTACCATTTTTTCTTGCGTATTATTATTAGTTGATAATGCTGTTAGAAATTTTAAGCTATTTATTTGGCTCCTGTATGTGATTTGTTATGGAAAGAGAGACAAAAATTATTTTCAGAATGCTTATTAAAAAATAACATTGAAACATGAATAAAAAAAGGAAAAACGTGTTGAAAAATTATACAATTGCATTAAACCTGGGACACGATTATTCACTCAATTTTAATCTGAATATGTAATCTCTATAGTTGACAGAGTGGACCAAAATTAATGCTCAGTGGGTAGTGGATATTATTTATTTTTTATACAAATGAATTGGAAGGGGATGATTCTCACGTTGTCCCAGGTGGTGCAAGGGGTCAGTTGACGATTTTATTACGAGGGAGAATAATTTGCCGGGGCATTGTTGTGATATCACAAAACGCAGCTTCATTAAATCTTTTTGAAAATACCTCTTGCCTATTTATTTTCCTCACTGGATCGACATCACTGCAATTTACTGGATAAAATGCTATTATTATTTTTGCTTCATGCTGGACCTCAGGGGAGGGGGTAAGTCCCAGTTGTCGAGCCCAGGGCGTTTGGACACTGCCATGAAAACGAGAGCACCTCTCCCTGGAAGAGGTTTCACTGCGACATACGTTCTGTGGTCTTTCGACCACTCGGACTTGAATTTTATTATTTTCTTCACTGGAGGCTCTTCGTACAGAGTCTCCTCTGACGTTTCTGATAGATTATCCTGGAGTCGTCCAAGAATATGGGAATTATTATTCAGTGCGAACGTTCAACGAATATCTCCGGATCTAGAGACGATAGCGCAATTTTCGTAATTACCTTTATTGTAGAGTTGACTGAGCTCTACGGAAAAGTTATTACAGAAATTTCTTTGGTTTTCTTAGAGTTTGAGATACTCGTTGAAATGGAGTTGAATCGTTTTATCAATTTGGTACGGTCTTTGAGGCTTACCATGTCGTGCAAGACCTTCAGCGAATTGTCAGGATCGCACACCGTGTCTGACCGATCGTCCGAACATCCTGGAAGCACAGCATCCCCCAGGACTCTGATGAGATACGACAGGAATGCATTTCTATTTTTCTTCACTTCTAAATTCGAGGATTTTATGTTTCCCACTCGTGTCAGGTAGTTTTTCGCAATATCTATGTCTAAAAAATTATTTCCCCTCAGTTTTATAGAGCTGGTGAATAATTTCTCTTCGATCCATCGTTTTTCAATAATAAATTGCCATATCATCCCGAGATTTCGAGATATCAATGAAAAAAAAATCCAAAAAATCACAGAACCAACCTCTTCGTCGCTCTAAATTTTTCACCAGAAAATTCGCCACCCTCATTTTCTTATTGAACTCCTCATCAAAAATCGCCCCAGCATCGTTCCCGGAATTTTTCCTCATCTCAAAAAACTGCGCCTAATTTCCCATCGAAAAAGATTAATCTCACCAATCGACATTTAAACCACCCAAACCCGGAAGTCAAGTGCACAGCTGTCGTCAGTTCCTCTAAAAAAAATTTCTAACCCTTAATAAATCCAAATAAAATAAAAAAAATGGAATGAACTAAGTAGAATAAAATCTCAGTATATCCCATTAGCCCCGAGGAATAAATAACACGATAGAATCGCAAAATGAGAAGAAAAAAAACTGCCGTAGTGACTTCCGGTGTGGGTTGTGTCGTAGCGTCGACCTAGAAAAATCATACGCCATTTTCTCGTTGACGCGTGCGGACGTTAGTGCGCCGCATTCATAAATATCGTGAACATCTCGTAAAAAGTTATAAAAAAAAGATAATAAAAGCCTCCCCAAGGATGAGTTACGGACGTCCACCACCCCGGATCGACGGGATGGTATCCTTGAAGGTTGATAATCTGACCTATCGCACAACCCCGGAAGATCTTCGACGCGTGTTCGAGCGTTGCGGTGAAGTCGGGGATATCTACATCCCCAGGGATCGTTTTACGCGGGAGAGTCGGGGTTTTGCATTTGTCAGGTAAGTAAAACGTCATTCTCCAGGAGTTCCTACTCCAGCAGCAAAAATTTCGTGTGGACCTCCAGGCGTCGAGACCCGTGACGTCATGACCCTCCATATTCGTGTCGTCGACGATTCTCCACTGTTCCAGGGGTTTTTCGTGACATGATTTTTTTTTTCGCAGGTTTTATGATAAACGCGACGCTGAGGACGCACTCGACGCCATGGATGGACGACTCCTGGATGGGAGGGAACTTCGTGTGCAAATGGCTCGATATGGTAGGCCAACATCACCACACAGAAGCCGTGGAAGTCGTCGCAGGGGGAGGTAAGTCCATTTTTTCGTATTTTCATGGTGCAGCAATTATTCAATAATAATAATAATAGCAAAAAAAGAGATATGCGAATTTATTTTGCAGATTGAATGAAATAAAAAAATTAGAGTATAGAATAATTAATGGGATTCTCTTTAAATTAATGAAATAATTTGATAATTTGATTTTTTTGTGATGGAGTAATTGAGTGAAACGTATCTTCAACGATATTTCTCTTCATTCAGATCTCGCAGTCGCAGTCGCGATCGCAGGAGGTCTCGCTCTAGATCTCGATCGAGGTCACGAAGCCGTGATCGTGATCGCAGACGTTCCTACAGCCGCAGCCACAGCCGCTCGCGTTCAGACAGCAAAAGCTCAAGAGGAAAGTCCCGCTCGCGCAGCAAGAGTGCAGACAGGCAGAACAACAGTCGCTCCAAGTCAAGGTACTACTCATCTTCAATTCAATTCCATCATTTTTGCCTCATTACTTCGGGAATATCTCGATAATTGGGGGTGAACTATCAAAGACAATTCTATGCTGTTATCCAGTTAAATAAATAATTTTCAGCAGTAGAAATGCTCCAGGAAGACTGTGGCGAGATTCCCTTCAGAGATATTCCCCACTCCCCCAATATATCAATAACATAACTCTACAAAATTCAATTAAATCAGAATCGTTTCAATTTCCAATTCACAGAGACTGAAGCGCTGATGGTATGAGAGTACAGGATTGAGACGAACGTGCCCCTCACGATGAAAATTCCCGAATCGTTCTCACAGCCTGCAAAAGGTATATTACAAATACTCTCCATACCTAAAACAAAGAAAAACAATGAATAAATCCACTTAGCACGTTCGGATCAATTGTCGCATCATAATTTCGTTATTTTGTTTTTTCTTCTCATATTAACCATGGTGACGCACTTCGGGGTTTTTTATTTTTACCAAAAATATGAAAAAACTATCCAAATTGAATGAATTGTAATGTTGAATAAATTTTCGACTCTTAATTATTCGAAAAATTCCGGGTATTACTATTATTGATTACTCTCGTTATCATTGAATTAAAATCCACCATTTTGTGGCCAATTATTGGGAAAAAAACGTAATCACTGAACATTTACTGATTATATGCTTCGTTTTAAAAATAAGTTTACATGTATAATTTTTTATTTCTTATCTCATTCATGAATAGAGTGATTAATACTGAGTTTAACCAATTGCTAAATTGACAGAGGTGGTGATAACAACCATAACCGAGACTCTAATTAATAATTATCACCACAAAGTTTCCAAGCTGATAAGAATAAACAGTAAACGTAAAGATAATAAAATGTAGAATTCTCGCAGTGTGTAGAAAATTTTTCTAGACCGTAAGTTTTGCGTTTTTCTGTAATTATCAATTTTTCAGGTTTATTTATGTACGTTTGCCATTTATAATAAAGTACGACTAAGAAAATATGCTGACGCAAGAGAGCTCGAGAATTCATGTGCATGTATGAAGGTTTCTAAATCATTAACAGATTATTGTTGATAATCACGGGGCAATCGAAATGTATGGCATCGTGTAGATTTCGTTAAAGTCAAGTGACGCATTTTAGAACAAGTGGGAAAAACCATGATTTTTTTATTCAACGATAAATCATAAAAAAAGATATATAAAATGCATTTTTTTATGTATTTTTCTCCCCAAAAGCGATCCAAATACTTGAAAAAAAAAAACAATATATAAATATGCAAATATATTTTATATATCTTCAACTAATATTTCCCCACTCGTGGAGCAGAATGTCAGGAATTGCAAAAATAAACTCCTGACATTTTCTCCCAGTGAATTATCGATGCTATTATAATGATGGAGAGGAGTTGTAATTGATACCGGGATTTTCAAAATATTCCTGTCCCTCTATCCACCGCAATCGCTCTCTGAAACCATTTAAACAAAAAAAAAATAATCTGGATGCAGCTAAGTTATAGCACGTAACTAAGTTGTGATTTTATGGTGCCACAGGCGGTGGAAAGGAGTGGCGTGTCGAGTGTAGCCGATGATGGGGGTAGCTGAGAGTAAGCAGTTAACCGGAAGTAGCGGGGATCTGTGCTGTTTGCTGTCGAGAGGCGGTTGGTGGTCTGGTGAAAAAAATATTGAGGCAGTTTTCGCGATAGATAGATCGAGATTATTCGAGAGTTCTGGGGGTTATGCAGTTATCAGCCGAATTTAATTAATCATCACCAGACACCATCGGTAGTTGGCGAATGAACGTGGGGTGGACGGATGGATTAACTACGCGTGATTAAGAGGCCAATGATGTTGGGAATTGCTCTGGGGCTCAAGATTTTTTTTAACAATCGAAGCCCCAAGTTTACGATATCATTGGCCACTTATGGCTGACGACATGGAGAGATTTAGGATTCAGCTGGGGGTAGTCGACTGATGAGATTATAACGTGTCTACTCGTCACTCCACTTTCAACCGTGAGTTTTCATTCTTCCGGGGATTTTTTATTGTCTTTGGGGGAGTGAAAATGCAAGGAGATCATGGAAAAAGAGCAGAGCCATTGTTTTTATTTTTTATTTTTTTTTTTTTTGGAAATATATCGGAATGTGGAGGGGGACACCGAGATTTTTCGTAGGACCTTTTTTGTAGAGGGCATTGAGAGCTACAAAAAAGTTCCCAGAAATATCTCGGTATTTGTCTTTTATTTCGAGATATTCCGCACTTGTTACTCTCTAGTTTTTCGCTGATGATCGAAATTTCATTTTCTGGGCATTTTTGGTTTATCTCGACAGGAAGTGGTTTCAGGAAGAAATTTTATTGGACTTTTTTGTAGAGGTGAATATTTCCTCGAAAAAGTTACTCATAATTTTTTATCCTAGAACCCATTCTTGTGAAGATAATCGAAAATTTAACGGGTGATGGGAAGGGGAGGGTTTCACAACTTGAGTACTGAATGGTTTTGTATCGGTATCAATGCTGGAATTTATTGAGACCGATTATTATTTGATAAATGGTCAACAATTTTTGCGATCGTTAATGGGATTATTTGTTATGGTAATAATGAGTTTATTGCAGGCACTGGGCACGTAAGTATTCATCAGTTATTAATCTGAATTCTGTGTTGAAGTGACGAATTTTTCCCTGATTACTCTGGTTTTAGGATAAAATCTTTTTTATTTTCCTGAAATCACTCATTATCGAAATAATTACGAGCTTCAATACCGAATTTATCTTTTAGTGTAGCTGAATGCAGTATTTTCCTGTGGCTAGAATTGAATAAAGTACTTCAAAAAAAAATTAAAATCTATAATAATTTTATTTAGAATTCAGATCCACTCAACTCCTCAATGATTTGCATATAAAATTCCTGCTCCTCAATTGATCTATTGTGCAAATATGTATAATTGTGCATTATCACATCCTTCCTGGAAGATCTTTGTCACAATGCTAGTAGGTACTTTCGTAACATCAACAATTTTTTTCATAATTCACAGCCTCTTATCAGTTTCAACAATTCTCGATGGCTTCGCCAGGCGACCGATAACGTATAATAATCCTACAAATACATGTCCAGCAGCGTAGATGTTCGTAAAATAGTACACAGTATTGTCGTATTCCAGCAGTTGAAATCCAATTCCCAAGTAGGACATGCAGGAGAACCTGAGGAAGTAGAGAAGTGCCCAAAGTCCGTTTTTCTTCTGAAATAATAAATCGTTTCCATGACTCATTCAATTATCTCAGAATTGATATACAGGAAAATGCCAGGGAAAAATGAGAATATCTCTTAATCTGAATTTTATCGAAAAAAAAAGTCACAAGGTCATATTTGCAGCTTATGAAATTCTCGACGAAGATGGTCTTTTCAATTTTTCGTCTTACGATCACTGCAATCCCGGAGGATTATCAGACACAAAGATAGCGTTTTGACTTACAAAACTGTTCTCCTCGCTCTGATGGTAGAATTTGACGTAGAGATCCTCCACTGGTAGGAAAAATATGAGAGATAGTAGTGAAACATAATATCCAAATGCCCAACCATGCCAGACAGCGGAGATCGTGAAAGTGGCAGCTGTCCTTAGGGTTTTACTGGGGAATTGCTTGTAAACGTACGCTGCCATCCAGTATTGCACAGTAATATTCCAGGATTTCATGGCATGTCTCACCAGGAAACACCTCTCCACCGCTGGGATATCGATATTGTGAACAGTCTTAAAATCGATCTCCTCGGATTTCAATTTTTGGCGATTGTTTGTTCTAATGTAAACAAAAATTTTTTTATAAATCCAGTGGTTGGCGAGATATTAATGGAATAATCTCAACATATTTGAATGAAGATTTGGGATAATTGAGAAAAATTATTACAATTCTAAATATTTTTTGTAGTCCTTTGGTCCTAGCCCCGACTGGGGTTCACAGCTCGTAGGATAGGCTCCGAGTCCTGCCATTTGACAAACGCACTCAGACAGCATCATCCCAGCATAAATTCTCGTTTTAAAATTGAAAAACGAGGGATAAACGTAGAAGTATCTGTACAATAACGATCTCGCCTGGAATTCCTCGGTGTAAACGTACTGTAAATGGAACAAATGGCAGTCACTCGCTATTTGTGGTTTATCAATTGCTTGTTATCACACCACTAGTGCGTCCTTACACTTATAGGATAATAGAAATTGAACAACAGGTGGAAAACTACAGCAACTACTATTTTTTTCAGTTTCTTGATGGTTTGTCCTTCACAGTCGATGTAATCCCCGAGATTTCGGTGGATGCAGTCCAGATAAGTTCTGTAGGTGTAATAAGGCCCTGTGAAATCCCCAATTAAACCATTAATTGATCATTAATTAATTATACCATTAATAATAAAGTGGAAAAACTTGACTTCAATGAAGTTTTCATTGAATATCTTAAAGAGATGGCGGATTTATTGCACAATAAATTTTTTTTAAGTGAATAGTACCTGTTAAGAGTCCTATGTACCCTAGTCCGAAGTGGAAGACGTCCAGGAATCCGATGTTCTTGATAGCTCTGTAGGTCCTGTTATTGGGTTCTTCCTTGAGGCTTTCAACTGCTGAATTCACCTCGAACCCGAGACCGGCGAGCCTCAGGGTGATGATCATCTGGAGGAGATTCACGTGGGTGGACGGCACCACCAGACCATACCAATCAGCCAGGCGGAATACGACGAGGAGGTAGAAGAAGGTGAAGAAAAAGGCAGCTATGTGTCTCGTTCTTCATTTTAAAAAATCGAACAAAATCATGGCATCATCAATATCCCCGAAACTATAGGGTTCATCGAAAACATCGTGAGACCTTTTTTCTAACTCGCGAGATTCTCTATAAAAAAGTTCTCTAGCAATTTCCAATAGAACCCCAAGTTTCCGAGAAAATTCCCTCAACATGGGGGCACGTTTGTCTGGAGTTGTCAAAAATTCTATAAAGAGTATACCCCCAATATCTCCCAAACCACGTGACCCATCAAGAAACCTCATATAACCTTTTTCGTAGCTCATTAAATTCTCTAGAAAAAAGGTTGTTTGACCTTCTCTCTGATTGCCCTCCCTATCGAGATATTCCCTGCTGACCCAAAAACCAAAGTCCAAAGAATTATTAACTCACCGATGTGACAATTTCGTTATCAGAACCGCTGTGATAACAGTACTTATAATAGGATGTAAAATATGTACACCGGACACCACAAACGTCACAAATAATCCAAAACCAGTGGATATCCATTGCCTGGACTCGGCGTCTTTGAATCTCCGAAATACTTGACCAAATTTGATGCATAACAGCAGCACAATGAGATAAATAACATCATCGATAAACATTTTTCAACGATAAACAGCTGATCGATTCCAAATAATGAAATTCTCCTTTTATTAATGGTGTTGTGTCGTGACAGATGAGCAGGAAAAAATTCAAGTGCTGGGCATTGATTGGTGTTAATGGCACTGCGGTGATGATTTTGACTAGACGAGCATGACTGACTCGTGCCAACTGAGCTAGAGTACTTGACTTAAATAAATTCAAGCACGTTACCACCCACGTCATATTTTCTGAGCATGTGTGAGGAGTATGTGGACACGTATCAAGGGATTGCAGTTGTCCTCGGATTAACTGCTAGATTTAAAATTGGGGGAACAAATAACGAAGAACTCTCAACGAATCAGAAGACCAAGTCCTTGACCTCCTTGAAACGATCTTTCACCTCTCGGAGATAATGTGGTCTTCGTATCATTGGGATTTGCTCCGGATGTTTTCACATGAAAAAATTTTTTCATTGACTGTTGGCCTGTACAGATTTGCTGAAGTTCCGAAGAAGTTATTGGTCTTCAATAAGAATTAAATTAATTAAAGCCTTAAACCCTTAACCATGGGGGCAAAAAATTGTAACTCCATAATCTCTGACAGCGGGACTGCTACTGAGGCAGTTACCGAGTCGGCTGAGGGGCAGACAGCCCCATTGTGTGTGGCGCCCTCCCTCTCTTGGGGTGCAGTACTGCCATGCCGCTGGGGTCACTCCAAAGAGGATTGACTGAAGTCGAGGTTCAGTTCTGGGGGTTTGAGTGACCCCAACGGCATCGTAGTACTGCACCCCTAGAAAGGGAGGGCGCCACACGGGTGAATTTCATTTTCTGCCGCATGAATGCTTTTTGTTTTTTATTTGTTTGACTGCAATCTAGCCGACTGTAGAACGAGCGGAAGGGGGAAGCCACATCTTGTGGAATTTCAATGGAAAAAATTATTCAATATGTTGAAGATATACCACTAATGAGTTTATATTTTTAAATGAATTCGTTGTCCTAGCGGCAACGTGCTCGCCTGGCACGCCGGCGGCCTGGGTTCAATCCCGGCGTCATTCATTTTTTTTTTTTAAATAATTCCAATTTTATCTTTTTATAATTGGCTAATCAATCGAAATATCGTTTAAACACTGAATTTTTGAAAAACGGAAAGATATCCAGTGAAATTGAAAAATTAGCAATTTTTTAAAACGATACTTTTGCAAAATATATACTCCTAATGAGATTTTATTATTCTAATAATGCGTTATCCTAGCGGTAACGTGCTTGCCTACCACGCCGACGGCCAGGGTTCGATCCCGCCGTCATTCATTTTTTTTTTTAAATAATTCCAATTTTTTC